AACATATATTCCTACTCCAACACTGTATAGGAAACTCCTGAGCTCAGGTGAGGAAAGCGAACATATATTCCTACTCCAACACTGTATAGGAAACTCCTGAGCTCAGGTGAGGAAAGCGAACATATATTCCTACTCCAACACTGTATAGGAAACTCCTGAGCTCAGCTGAGGAAAGCGATTACATATATTCCTACTCCAACACTGTATAGGAAACTCCTGAGCTCAGCTGAGGAAAGCGATTACATATATTCCTACTCCAACACTGTATAGGAAACTCCTGAGCTCAGCTGAGGAAAGCGATTACATATATTCCTACTCCAAGACTGGCCCTATAGTAAACTTGTGTGAAGTGTTAAAGTGAAGAACTGTGTCGGAATATGTGTTTGGTTTCCTCAGCTGAGCTTAGGAGTATATATACGAATTTATGTGAAAATGTAGAGGAATCGATGAGAAAATTTCCACCCAAAATTTTCCCTATGTACTCAAACGATGTGCATATTTTTCCTCCACACTGCGTATTTCAGCCATACTCTGGTACACGGGAGTCCCGGGGGGACGGACACTGGTAGAACTCATGATATGATGTATGCTACTAAGGGTGAGTTGATGCTATGAGTACTACTCATAATATATAATCAAATATATAGAAAATCATATATATAATATATATTGAAAATATATTAATATTATAATATATATCATATATTTTTATAATAGAAAATCAAATATGTATACTACTACTCATTGAGTAGTAGTATATATATTGGATTTTCTCAACTGAGTTTGTGATTTTTATCGCTACATTATGAAAATTCACGAAAAATTTTGGGTAGAAGTGTGTGGATTTTCACCAAAGCATGCAGTTGAACAACAGCAAATATTCTTACGATGAGTAGTACAGGACTGAGTTGAAGAGTTAGAAGTGTAAAGGGACCAGCAAGAATTTCCATATCGTCACCAAAACATGTGGAGTTTCTGTTGCCGCACGGGTGCAGTAGGTTCTCATCATCATTATCACCAACAACAACAAGCAGGAGGCGTGGGTCTATACGGATCAAAGTCCGGGCAGAATCGTCCTGTAGGAGAATGTTAAGGAGGAGTGGTATGGCGGTTTTGAAATAGGGAGGGGACGCGCCTCGTGGACTACAAAGTGCGACGCAGTCGAGAAGTCACCAAGTGTATCAGTCGCCCTCTCCGGGGGTCAGCGTTCATAGTAGCGGAAGTCACGGTATTGGGAATAATATTTGGGGGTACCGATGGATGCATTTCAGGGCAATATGGGCAACGCCAGGGTGGCATGGGAGCATCCTCGATGCTTCAGCAAGTAGTGTTGGTTGGTTTAGCGGAGCGAAGCGATTTTTGAATGGTACTTTTTCGTTTTTTCAGGCTAGTGGTCAGGGACGAGTGCATATGCATATCGCGGCCCATCATAGGCGTTTGGGAGGGAATAATAGGGATAGAGTCTCACCGTTTAGTCAGCATGTGAGATATATGACCTACTACTACTGTTACTATCTGTTCTACAGTCCTCGTGCTCGAGTGACAGCTTCGACGATCCAGCGTTCGCTAGCGTCCCCTCGCATGAACTTAGTTATATGCCACCAGCGGGTTCCGAATGGTAATAGTCTACGAATGTGTATAGGCGTATTGCCGTATAGGTGTCCATTGGTGAGTGGCACTAATACTCCTCTGCAACCATCAGCAGGGGTACCTGTATCGTCGTATGCTTATGCTCAGCAAGAACTAGGTGGTTTGATGGTGACACCTATCGTCGTGTCACCACTTGGTAGGTTCTAGTAGGCGTCACCCTCTGGACCCGAGTCCTCTGAGATCGTCTTCGAATCCTAGTGATGTGAGCTCCCCAACTCAACAGCAACAACAGCAGCATGGGAGCATGCCTTTCCCGACTGACGACGGCACTGATCTTGGTATTTACATACAGGAACAACT